AGTGGCGTAAACTAAGTCCAGAAATAAAATTTAAAAAAAAAGAAAAAGAAAAGAAACTCGTGGAGTCAATGCCCAAAAGATTAAATGAAGTGATCAAGTAAGTGTAAAGGTATCACACAAGAAATTAAAAGGCAAAAGCAGTGCACGGTTTTTTCATTTTTGGGTGTTACTAAAAGTGTTCGATTATTTTTGTGAGAATATTTTTCCTCATTAAATAAATGGTACTGATTTTTTAATTTAATTATCATCTTTTCTAAAATTAATTTTTATATATAATCAAAATAAAAGCCTTTCTTTTTGTTTTAATTTATTTTAGTTTTTATATTAATTAAAGAATACAAAAATTCAGTGTCCAATCATTTCTGTGAGCCACTGTATATATCACTCTCTCAGTGAGCTCAGTTTTTTTCCTTATGTGTTAGTAAATTGTGCATTTTTGCTTTAAAAATGATTAATTAATGTTGCTCTTATGTTTCAATTAAGGTTTTTATGTTAATCTGCATGCAGTAGTTGTAGAATTATCAACAATTTAAAGTTTAAGTAGTGATAAGCCTAATGAAGGTACCATTTTAAAACTCGTTGTAGAATAGTGAATTTAGTCAATTTGTACACCAACTTCAGTATCTTTTTGCAGAGTGGGGCCGAAGTATACTTCCAATTTTATGCACTGAAAAATCTGCTTCCTGCCTACTGGTCGAATTGCTTGTTTTTGCATAGAAATTTTAGTTTTAATTGTAAAAAAAATTAACTGTATTAGGTTTTTTTATGTTTTTCTGTATTTTACATTTTTTAATGAAGATATTTTGAGTTTTTATGTATTTTTGCCTTGCTGCAAAGTGAGAACTAAATTAATTTGATTGAGAAATATATTCCTAATGAAATTCAAGGAAATAAGTTTAAATGAAATGCAGCAAAAAAATGTATATAATTTAATAGGCCGTACAAGGAAGTCATGTGGTGTCCACATCAGATATTTCTTATTGTGTTTATTTAGTGTTAAGCTAAACAGACACAAAATTGAAATATATTCTCACATACACATAGAGGCATGCACGTACACACATATACCAAGTATGCTTTTGCAATTAGACAAGTGAATAGATTTGAAATGTGTTTTAATTGTAAAACTTTTGAAAACTTCTGAGACTTTCCCTGCTCTCTCTCTCTCTCTTTTTCACATCGTAATAAAAGTTGAAGCCTATCATGTACTCAAAAATCTGCATCAAACAACAAATACAAGTTGCCTGTTCGTCCAATCCTAGTGGTATACAGTACATATGGGATTTAGAACACATCATTTTGCTGTTGGTGACAATTTTCAAACTCTCCCCAAGGCTGTAACCATATACTAGCATTTTACTTGCATTTTTTGTAGTTAGCTTGTTTTAAGGTAAAGGAATATCAATTAATTTTTGAAGGTTATAAAATAGGGTTTGGGTTCAAGAATTTTGATTATGAATGAGCTACTCATTTTAAAATTGTCATTTCTTTGTCTTAATTTTATTGCTTGCTTGTTTAGCGAGGTGTCTATGTGGCACTGATGAACTATTTAATAAAATGCCTTCAGTTGCCTCATAATTTCATTTCTTTAATCTTGTTTTTTACAAAAAAAGCTATGAAACATCTAATTATCATATCTCAATTTCTTCCCCCTTCCATAGATGTGAAAAACAGTGTTGATCCAAGGCTTTCTGCTATCTAGTGCAATCTCTGCCACCACATGTGGCCACAGCTATTACTGCATTGCATTGCACTGGTTGTTTCATTATTTCTGGTGAAAAATCAAAATTTGATCTTTTCATTAAAAAATGCAGTTATATTTGCAATAATCATGAAAACTTTAAGATTTGTATATTCATTCATTTAAGAAGTTAACATTCAATTAATAATTCCTTTGTGAATGTATATTGAATATTCTTGTATATTCACTATACATTCACAAAGGAATTATTAACTGAATGTAAATTTCTCAGATTCATTGCAATTTTATGCATAAAAGAGCTGTTATGCAAAATGAATGCATTTGCATAGTACTTTTTTAGACTGCTTCTGCATAAAGATGCCAGCATCCTTAAACCAATGCTCATATTTTGCATAATGGTGTCAAAATGATTATGGAAAAACAACTTACTTGTGTAAAATGCTATTGTGTTTGCGGAGTGACTTTACAATAAAATATTATGAATTTACTTCATCTTGTGCTTAATATATTAATCAGAAACAGAACGCAATTTTAAAACCTATTCTTTGGAAAATGTTCTGGACAAAACATACTAGTATCACCATGAATCTAATTGATATTTTAGGACAAAATGGATTTTTATAACTCTGCCTATATGTTAATTCTGGAACATTGTAATGAAAACATCTTATTTGATCTAGATACCCATAAATAAGATTATATTATTTGGAACTACTTTTCAAATATATAATTACTTATTCATAGCCATGATTAGGAATTTTATTTTAATATAAAATACATCCAGCATTTTTATTGAAAAGGAGGTAGCAGGCAACTAATCATATATTTTCTGTAAAAGATTAAATATATGCACAAGATATTTTTCACATAAGTAATTAAGAATTATTAGGTAAAGTGTAATTTTCAGGTCTATGGAGTCGACATCATAAGCAGTTTACGGCTAATATTTTGGAGATAAGTGACACATCTATTAAAATGATAAATAAAATAATGTTGTTTTGCATGCCAAAATATACAAAAACTGCTGTGAAGTGTGAGTTTTCTCACATGTGTTGTTTGAAACTCCTTCTTCTTTATCATTTCTGTATGGTTTTGTATGGGTTGTTGTCTTCTCCTAGAAGTCAGTGCAGAGGAGTCAAATAGGACCAAAAGTATCCAAAACAGCCACAGCAACATCAATAACCTTCGAAGAATAGAGGAGTGGTGCGAGGGAGCTATATCTATACTGAGGGGCCTGGCCAAAATAGCAGGACAGTCGAAGAGATGGTCTGGAGAAAGTTGGATATCAGTACAGTGAGGATAGTTATAATAATTTCACTGCCCATCAGGGGATGTCTTCATTCCCTAAAAGTGTTTTGTCCTCAGTCTAGCTGTGGTAGTGGAAATGAAACAGTTACAATTTAGGGTAGGAATGGAGTTCTTTTTGATTGATTGAGAGATAAGTCTTCGGCAGGCTATGTATTATATTATGTAATTAATCAACTACTGTTGATCGAAGTTGTCAGAATCCACTGACGTATGCAGGTTCTATTTATATAACTGATATAAAAAAACAAGAACAAAATTCATTTACCTGTTCTGATGCATTGTTGAATCTGACGTGATGTTTCAGCTGGCAATCTTCTTTACAGAAAAACCACAATTCTATTTCTTGACATCACATTTTATTTACATAAAACATTCAAAAGGAAAAAAATATTATTTAAATACATTTTCTAGTACAGCCTCTCTTTTTCTCTCATGGATGTACGAATCAATTTATCTGTCCGTCACACGGATTCGAAACCAAACTATCTTCTGGTTACAAAAAAGAATAAAAAAAAACAAGGTTTTAATTTCTCTCACAAGTGGAACCCCTAACTCCCTCTAGTGAGGAAAAGACACTTTAGATGAACATTTAACATTATGCGTCAGCATCAGTAAAGGTTAAGCTGTTGGAAAGTTGAGAACTATTTCAGGCGTCTTTGACAAGGCCATCAGCCTGCTCATTTCCGTAAATATCAACATGTGCTGGTATCCACTGTAATGTGCAGGTCCTTTGGGCTGCAGTAGTTTTGTTTATGAGCATGACAATGTCCTGGGTAAGTTGAGAGTTGCCCCTTAGAATGGCTTGGAATGCAGATTTAGAATCAGAGAGTAGAATAATAAGAGGCCATTGGAGTTCTGGATAGCCTTGGAAAGGTAGATATGTAAAGACTTTTTGATGGCCACGAGCTCGCAGGTATAATTTGAGACAGTTTTACCAACAGGTATTCTATGGGATTCAGATTCACCATTAGCATGAACAAAATAGATGCCAGTGCCACCCTTATGAAGGTCTGAATCAGAGTAACCATCTGTATATGCAATAGCTAGATTTTGGGCCGAATTTGAAAGTTCATTGATGGTGTGGGTGCCTTTCTCCTTGATTATTGCAGCTGGCTCATTTTTGTTGCAAGAGGTTTAAATTTATAATTGCTTATTTGGTATCTGCAATTGGTAAAATTGGTATCTGCAAGACTCTGGGGGAGATCGGTATCAATTGGTGAATGATCAGGATGGTAAGCATTTACCACAGTAATAGTATGTTTAGGAAGAAAAATATTTATTGCTTGAGCTTCCGTGTTACTGTTGGCAGAAGAGTATTTCTGTAAACTTCAGCTCTGAAGTTTTAACTAATAAAGCAATGCTTCCACCAATACCAGTGAGCCTATCTTTCCTTATCATTGTGAATCCCTTAATATTTAAGTTTAAATTATGATTAGTTTCGTTTCCTGCAAGCAGGCTATGTGAACATTAATTGAATGCAGAATAAAAGACAATTCATCCCTTTTCTTTTGCATGCCATTAATATTAAGTTGGAGGGAATTCACTGTCAGCATAGAAAATTTCTCAACATGGTCCCGAACTGCAGACCATGATGCGCCGGCTGCCCCGTACGCAGTAGCGTTAAGATCAGACTCCAATATTGTACTATCCATGGAAAAGGAAGTTTGCTAGAGCCTCCGAAGAGGTTGGACTTCTACCTATTAGTCCATGGAGGGTATTTTATTTTCCCTCAACCACCCATTGGAAATCCAATGGAGGCATTCCCGATCTGCCACCTGGGGACGCACCCTGTAGGGGTTACAGGCTCCTCCGAGGGTTTGTATGTGTAACAATATTATTTGATTGATCATAGTAGCTAATATCTTGAGCCAATCTTGTAGCTCAGATTTTTTTTTTCACTACAGCATAAATGATAACAAGCAATACTATTTAAAAAAATGCTTTTATATAGCTGTAAAATGATAAATTAATAATATTCTACTTCTTATAGGCTGCATATACATTGGTGCTTTCTTGTCCAGCTAATGTTGGACTTATTTGCTCATATGGTCATATGATAAAGATGTTATCAAACCGAACTCAATCTAAACTGTAAGTAAATTCCTTATTGCTTAGATTGTAAATGTTATTATAATTATTATTTTCAGGTTAAATAGTTTAAATATTTAAATAAAGGTCTGTATGACTGCTGAATTTTGTCAGAGTTATAGAGACTGCTGACAATTTAATGTTTTCTTCAATATGTATGATTTTTTTTTTTTTTTTTTTTTTTTTTTTTCTTTTTAAATTTGGCTGCTTAATTGCTTTATTCAAACTATTCATGAGCTATTGTATGCATCTAGACTGAAAAAGAGAGAGAAAGAATAAAAAAATGCTTCCTTGCTATTTATTAAACATTATTTTAAATCCAAACAATATGATTTGATGTAAAAATGTAGAAGTGGCTATCTAATTAGGAAAAATATTAAGGATAAATATTCATATTTTAGTAAAGTTTCATGTACCTAAAACTGGACTAACTTTAATGTGTAGTTCTTTTTGGTTAAAAATTTTTAGAATACATGATTACTTAAAACATATTAAGTTCTTTATGAACAAAATGAGGTCTTTGCATGGTTTCTATATTTTACTAAATAAAGTAAAAAAAATAAATAAATAAAGGATAGCTTTGGAAATAATTTGAAAAGTATTACCTAATGAAAAGCATAAGGTGTACTCTTTATTGATGGAGAAAAGATTTTTAAATGTATATATAAATTAAAAATAAAAGTAGGAATGAAATGAATAAAATTCTTTCTTTCTATATGAAAGTCTAACCTTTCATTTCCAGGTAAAAATCATCCTTTTGTAGCCAAATCTTTGTAAAATTTCATGAGGACTTGTAGAATTTATCAGACATACAATTATACAGCCGCAACAATTTACTCTTCCTACAATTATATTGCTTATTATGGTTGAGTGGAATACTTATAGTTTCTCTGAAATACGTTTTCTGGCAATTGAAAGGATTGCTATATGTGGTGATAATATAAGCTAATTTAGGTTATAGCACAAATGAGCTTAACTGGAATTTCTGTATGAAGAGCCTTATCTTAAGCTTAAATGTTTTGATTAACTAACTGCCAATCTAACTTTTATTATTTTATGCACATTGTAAGGTCATGCATTTTATGAAAATCAGATGAAGATAAGTTCTTAAAGTATTTATGAATATCATTCAACAGTATTGGAAAAATATTGAATGAAATTTCTTGATGAAAATTTTAAAGATGATCAGTGTTGCTTATTTTTTGATCAACCATATTTGACAAATGGAAATTGTTGCCAAGCAGTGTGATTTAGCACCAATAATGAATTAGTGTTACCTCACAACTCATTTGTAAGATCTTCCTCTTGGTTTCATGTTACCCTAACCAGTATTTTGTATGCTATAGCCATACGTTGTATCTGTTAACTAAGCAACTAAACAAAGAGCAATCTGTTTCTTCAAATTTCCTCCAGAGTGAGTTGTTAAGTTTACCAGGATCTCTGCCATATTTTATGGTTGACAGAAAAATATGTAACTTCTGATTAAATCAGCTGTTATTCATATAAGAATTTAAACAAACCAAAACATTTAATTGATTATAAATGTTTGATATACTTTTCTCCTTAAGATATCTTCTCGTTGTATATCTTTGAAATTATCTCCATGAAGATGGGATTTTTGTATGTATATACATATTATGTAAGTAAAAAATCCATTACTAATGTAAGAGTAAGATAATTTTATCGTTTTTATTTTCTCAACAACAAATTTAGCGTAGTTTTTAATCATTTGAAATTAATTTTTCAAATACATTTTCTTATATATATTCCAATCATCAATAATAAAACTTCTAGTGATTTCAAAGCAAACTAAATTATTAATTGCAAAATGTAAGAGATAAATTCTTATTAAGAGAAAACTACTTTGGTAATCGTTAAGCCTTTGCCTCCTGCAAAGTATGTGACTGGTGTTCTGTGTTTACTTTTGTTTACTGCACAAAAAATGATATACTTAGAAAAAAAGAGAGAGAGCTACGTTCCCAGCTTCTGATCTGTATCGCTTTTGAAAATATTAATTTTATCAATATGCGCATAGAAACTAGTTGAATCAAACATATCTGAGTGGCTCTGGAAGAGATTATATATGAGTAGCATTCTCTTGCTTGCTTCTGTCTGCTTTTATTTTTATTTGTGGTGCAGTTATGACTTAAGTAGAGCATTTCTATTATTTCAATGATCCTATTAACTTAAAGAAAGTTTTGAATATTTTAATGAACTAGTAATGTACAGATGGAGATTTAGGAAATGATTATAAATGTGATACTGAAGTTAGAAAAGGATATAGCTATAATACAAGGTGAGGGAAATAATGGAGAAAATTAAACCAAGAGTGAAACAATAACTGTTTTTGTAAGGAGAAATAAAATTTCCACATGAAGAAGTGATGAAAATTATCCCATTGAAAGCAGTAGAAAGTACATCTTTTAATATAGTTAATGGAAACACTTGAGTTAATTACTTAATACTTTCCACTTAATGTTTACCTATCAGCAAGCAACCACCTGGTAACTTGCTCAATAATGTAAGATTTGAATTGTTAGTTGGAGGGTTACATGATTACTTTGAACTATTTGTTCTGATGATTCAAAAAGATACAAGACTTTTCAATTTGTAAAACTATATTCAGAGCTATGCTTAATGATAAAATTGGTGAGTGCATTTCCCTTAAGTTTTCTCATAAAGGATAGAAGATACGTCAACAAAGTTTACTTGTATTAGTGTCTATCTGTGTAATTAAAAGTGATTCATTGTAATAAGTAGAAATAGCAGGTTTGTGGAGATTTAAAGATCATTTCTTTGCTACTTAGAGGATTTATGAAACATTATTTTTCTTGTGAGATAGTAAGGCAAGTGGGTAACACTACACTGTGAAAGAGTGGCCGCTGGTTAGAGAGTTGTTTATAACAAAACAACATAATGTTATCTAGCAATTATGAGCCAAATTAAGCTATTATTTTATATGTACAAAAACTTTATAAGGGTATGGAGAGAAACAGTGAAAGTTTTGCATACCCAGTAGTTAGTCTGCAAATTTTAGTAAAGCAAAAGTGAAAAAGGAAATATTCATTGATTCCCAAATTGGAAGACATTTATGAGCTTAAAAATATGTTTTAAGAAGTTAATTGATGATGATTTGTTAACCTGGAATATTTTTTATAAAGTGCTGCATGGGTTTCTAGTAAATAATAAAGTAGAAAATTACCAACAATTGGTTTGAAAACTTTTGGATCGTTTTTACAAGCTAGGATGTAGAAGGTTTATGAAAATTCACTTTCTGCATTCTCACTTAAAAGAATTTAAGAGATATAAGCAAGCAACAAAGAGAAATATTCTATCAGGATATTCAAAAATTACAGTAGAGATATCAAGATTAGATTAATGTGACGGGTAACATAACATTAACGTGAAGGGTGACTAATCTTATTTTCTAGAAAGTGATCCATACAAAAGAAGGAAATAACTATAAGAGAAATATTTCTCATTTTTAGAATATCTTTTATATCATCTGTGAGATCAGGTTAATATCAGTACAGGTATTGCAAAATATTAGTTTTAGACTTTTTTTTTAAATTTATATAAGTCAATATTTTTATTGTTTTCAGTTAGTCCTATTTTAGTATATTATGCTTTACTAAAATTAGATAGTGCTCAAATACCTGATAAATTAAAAAATTTTGAACATAAAATTATTCAAAGCCATGTTTCTACTAGTAACATTAGTTTATTATATCATATATTACCTAAAAATATTAGCTGATTAAATTTTCCTAGATTATATAGGTATATTAGTGACATAGCTAGAATTATAGATTAACAAAACTAGAATATTTTTTCATTTTTGATAGAATTTGTTTCACTGTTCATACAAAAATATCAATTCCAGGCAAATGGGCTGCATGGGCATTTTCTTGGCTTTCCCCATGTCTAATGTATATACAAGCAAATTTCCATTAGAAAGTCCTCCATGAAGGCATCCCTCCCTTTAGACAGATAACCTTAGTGTACTTTGCCATAATCAACTAAACCAACCATATAGTAACATTGCATGTTATAAACTTTTTATTTCTTGTTCATGTTCAAGAAGGTCAGTTTGTTTAAAATTACCTGCTTTTATTTATGTAGAGAAAAATGTCTAAAGTTGTTGATTTGTGTAACTGATTAATATATATTTTGTTGCATATCAATCAAAAGAAGGACAAGAAAGTACAAATAAGTCACTGAGTTAAGAGGAGCTCAAAGTTTGTATATCTAAAGAAACTACACTCTGTTTATGTTATTTTTATCCCTCTTTGGAGTTTATTTTAAATTGTTTGTAAAAGACAGTCTTCTTCTTTAAGAGCAGAACATTTTTCTGTAGTACAGTTAGTTCATTATTTTATTTATTTAATTTTCTCTTTAATTTCAGTGCACCCTATATTAAAAGACAGATTTGCAAGAAATGTCATCTTATCTTACGACCTGGTATAACATCTCGAGTAAAACTAAAAAGTAATAATTTCTTATTAACTAGGTTAAATTTTCCATTCATATCCTCTGAGACAGGTATATGACTGTCTTGTTCATAGAGGGGCTAACTTTTAAAACTTATTTAAAGATATATGGGATTTTTATTATTTTGCAGTGTACAATTTTATTTATATTTATTAATTTTCTGAACTTTAAATAGATTATTTAAAGCAGAGATTTTCATATTTTTTAAATTTTGTACCACATAAATAAAAATAAAAATTTTTTCCATCATAAAAATATATTCTGATTAAAAATCAGTTCATTCTAAATGAAGTGTTTATAATCAAAGAATAAAACATTTTAAATTTGTATTATTCAACTACATTTGTAAATTTTAAATGGTAATAAAATATAAATTCACTATATATTGTAGTAGATAGTGGGTAATAATACACAATAGCAAATATTTTAAGATTTATTATGGTGAGGATTAATGCAACGGATGAGCCCTTTTTATTACTACCATTTCTAAAATGTTGGGTTTTATCTTCTTTAATTCCAAGCAAAAGTCATGTGTAAATTGCAACCATGCCCTATATTTATTTTTAGTGGCTGAAAATTCCGTTTGTTTTGATTTATTACTTGTTTTTGTTAGAGGCTAGTTGACAGTGATAATAAAATATAAATTTGCTATATATTGTAGTAGATAGTGGTAATAATACACAATAGCAAATATTTTAAGATTTATTATGGTGAGGATTAATGCAACGGATGAGCCCTTTTTATTGCTACCATTTCTAAAATGTTGGGTTTTATCTTCTTTAATTCCAAGCAAAAGTCATGTGTAAATTGCAACCATGCCCTATATTTATTTTTAGTGGCTGAAAATTCCGTTTGTTTTGATTTATTACTTGTTTTTGTTAGAGGCTAGTTGACAGTGTCAAATCAACACTAAGCACATTGTTATGTAAATGGAAAAGCATTAGTTTTGCATGAATTTTTTAACTAAAACCTTTCAGCTGTGTAAAAGGAGAGCGAGAGAGAGAGAGTACCTTTAATTATTGATGTTATACATATTCTTAAATCAATGTTATACATATTCATAATCATCGATGTTATACATATTCTTAAAGTTTTAATGATTAGTAAAATTGAAATTGGTAACATGAAAGAAAAAAGTTAAAAGAAAAGTAAAAAATATTGTTCTATACTTTTATATTATTAAACTGTAGTTATAAACTGTATAATTTATATATGCAGTGAGTTTATATGCTTAATATTTCATGAACACTGTACCAACAAAATATTACATCTCCTACTTCACCATGAATAAGCCATTCTTCATATTTACAATGTCATGTGACGACAGTTGCAATTGGAATTTATGCATAAAATGTCTAAATTTTGGATTATAATAAAATTTAATTCACTTGTGATTTTTCCAAAAATTGGTTAATATTGTAAGTATAATATCAGAATCAAAATTTCGTTATGATGTATTGATTTTCATTACTATTTTCCTCAATTTGTGGTGTTATTTTCTTTTTCTTTTTGCTCTAACCATCACTTTCCAAATAAAATGGTTCTTATTTCACCCATTTTTGCAAATAAATTTTTGCTTCGGACCTGTTTCAGTTCATTTTCAAAACTGATAGAGTTTTAATCAATTTCTTCTCCAACCTAAGCTCCCTTTTCAGCCTAATTTTAAATCATAAGTAATTCTTTGAATGACAAATTGTTTGGAGAAAATTGTATTGAAACCGATGAAGATTTCATTCTGTTTCTTCACTAAGACATGAGTTGTTATCAAAGCAAACTTTCGTAAGCCTTTTTCCAAATTTACCAAATTACTTCTTGCATTTTGGGAAGACAAGGATACTGCTTTACTCGTTTGAGCAAAGAATTTTCTTGTATATATGTTACGGTGAAACATCAAAATCTGAAGAATGTCGACTTTCACCGGTGAATATCAACATTCACATAGTCGCTTGTTGTATGACCGAAATATTTTCCAAATACTCTTATTTCTGACTTACACTGGTAAATGTCAACATTCACCATCTACTAATGGTGAATGTTGAACATATAAGAATATTATATTTTCTTCTCCGTAATTCAGTTGCGAAAAAACGCACTTGAGACTTAAAATAAGAACTTAAGAATATAAGAACTTAAAACACACAGTACATTCAAAATGAGGAAAAAAAAAATAATAGAAGTTATAAACTTACTAAATTATGCGATTCAAATCGTATTTATTGCAAAAACTTAATTATGGCAGTTTGAATTGCACAAGAGGCCCTTGCTTTTTACAACTGCATTTATTTGTGGAACACTTCCTTTTGCAATGACAGCGTGTACATATACTCCTCTCTTTTCGGCCTACACCAGAGCATATCTGTGATTGTCGACATGCACCAGTGAGGGTCCGAATGTACAAGAATTTAATGCAATATTCGATCTTTCACCGACGTATTTGGTGAATGTTGACATTCTCCGGTGAAAGTCGACATTCTCCAATTTCGGTCTTTCACGGTAATATATATACTAAAAGTGTGAAATAAAATGCGTAGTTTTTTTGGGGGGGAATAATAGAAATGGTTGTAATTAATTCTAAGTATTATTAAAAAGTAATTTTTACTAGCAAAAATATTTTTTAGTCTCACTTATTACAAGAGTGTTTGTCTGTACAAATTCCATGAATTCCTTTTTTACGTACAGCGCAAATTAAGTTGGATTGCTTAATTCCATTACCATTTTTTCTACTGTATATCTCACACTGTTGCAAGTTTCACCCGGGCAGTTTTTGTAAAGAAAACGTTTTACTTAACCTCTTAGGCATGGCTAAATTTTGTGCGGCGCTGTTTCTTTGTCCGGCAGACTTCAGCGTGAATTACCTGTAAACGATGCAGCAGTACAACGTATGAAATACAACAATTCATGCCTGACATTGGCATATCAAAAGCAAAAAGGGGATATTCTGTCCGTATGCTGCTAACATTGTAAAGAAAAAGAAGTGTGAAATACAACATATGAAAATGATTATTCAATTCAAATGGTGACCCTGTACCTGTAGAGTGAGCCACTATAGTAGCACATTATTCAGAAGAGATTAATTCTTATCTTATTAAAAACCACAAGTGAATATTAATAAAATTGATATGAATACAACTGCTGTCAATTAATGCAATAATTATAGTAACAAATAGCAGCACGATCGCGCTTCTAATCATTTTTCGTGCAACACAAGAGATGCCGCACTCAAACGGTTAATAGTAGACTTGATAAAATCAAAAACAGACTTGGCTTATATGTCAAATTTGTTTAATAAATTCAGTGAATGAACCATCAGTTCCAAAATGATGACCTGAATCTTATAAAAACCAAAATTTTTAAATTTTTGTGCTTGTGACAAAGCTTTAGATACATGAAAAAAACTTGAGGAGAATTTACAAATTTTACAACTGTAGAATACAAATTTGTCAACTGTAGAATTTCAACATAGTAAGCATTTGGAAGCTTTGAAATTGGACACAAAAAAAAAAAAGATTTCAAATTATTTAAAAATGGATGTACCCAAGCCTTTAGGATTAATTTTCCTATAAAATTCCAAAAGTATCTTGAAATTTTAAAAAAAAAATTGAGCTAAGAGCAAATGAATAGCCGAAATTTAAATTTAGATCTAGATACCAACAGTTTTGGCTGCAGAAACAGATACCTGAACTTTATCTTAGTTTATGGGAATATTGTACAAACATTTCTCATAGTCTACGCCAGGGGCCCCAATCTTTTTCTCCCTAAAAGCACATTCTAGAATATCTGTTGGACGGCGGACACCATTTACTTTTTCAAGGTGAATACATAGTTGGATAGCGTTAATAATACATGCACATAAAAAAAGATTTCGCTTTATGCAGGTAATCTGTGTTGGATGCATTTTCGATTTCATTAAAAATGAGAAAACTTTCACATAGAATTTTACTGAAAACTAACATTTTTATTGTGATCACACAACGGCGGGCACATGTTAAACGATCGGCGGGCGCCATGGAGCCAGCATAGGGTTGGGAATCCCTGGTCTACTCTATTCTTATTCAGTGGAAAGCAGGGTTTAGGGCAGTCACAGTTCCATTAACTGAAAAATGTAATCAGCTGCAGTTAACTAAACATAGAGATTTGAAACTGTTGTTAAAAGAAAGGGAACCAAATATCCACAAATTGGCAGAAGACACACATCCTTCTCATTAAATTTTATTCAATACACGTTGAGTTTGTATTCGCTTCCTTTTTTTGTTAAATATGACTGTGTATTTTCATTTGAATTCATCAGGATACAGATAATCCAACCTCCATGGAATCTAATCCAGTGGGTTTTATTCAATGCTGGTGTGCACGTCCTAGAATTATTTACTGCCTCAAGCATTTCTCTAGCATACATATTGTTCCCCTTATCGTTTTGTCAATTCAGTTCATTGTTCCATTGTCAATTCAGTTCATTATTCCATTGTTTGTCAATTCAGTTCATTGTTCAGAAGCCTATGGAAAATCTTCCAATGAATGACTTCAGAAGATTAGAGCATGGCACATGTATTTTCAGGTTTCTTTCTAAAAAGAAGGATAAGCGTTGTATGATGAATATACCTAAAAATTAAAAAAATTAATTTAAAATTATAGGTGCGCGTTATATGCCGGAATATATGGTATAGCCTTTGGTATGTATGAAAATGAAATATGATGAATAATGGAAATGATATGAATAATGAAAATGAAATATGATGAATGCAGTCAAAAGTCTTTAATCCGGACTCATCAGGACTTCGGCAATTCCGGATTATTGGTTTCTCCGGATTATAGATCATTAGTTTAAATCTGGTAAGATCGCATGCAAAAATTATAAAAATAAAAATATGAAACCATAATTTATGAAATAAAGATCTAAAGGGTATCAAAATTTAAAAAAAAAAAATTATTTAAAAATGGATGTACCCAAGCCTTTAGGGTTAATTTTCCTATAAAATTCCAAAAATATTTATTTGTAT